ATATATATATATATATATATATATATATGTTACGTACTAATTGTGCGTATTGTTGACATGCTGCTGACAAGAACTTTTTATTTAATTTAGATTTTTAGTCTTTTATGTAGAATTAACATCTACTTCTTATAATATGGTACAGATCTCATTTTATTTTAAAATTAGATCATTTATTTGCATTATTATTTGCATATTTTGCACAAGATGATTTAAGAATAAGTTTAATTTATGATAATTGTAGCGGAAATGTCGAGATTCCGGCTTAGCAACAAGCCTGAATATTCTAGAAGCTGATAGTCAGCTATCTCCTCGGCGTAGCAAGTCCTCGTAACCGAGGAACTGCGAGAATTTGTTACGTTGTCAAGGGGCGATCGTCCCGGAGTTTCATTGTTCTCTCTCCTCCGGGTACGATCTGAGTTTCAGTTTCTCTTTAGCTATTGCGAGGTGCATCTCATTCGTTATCACGTTTTGCTAATCGATATTGAGATTTTCCGTCAAGAGTAAAAGTGAAAGAGCTGGCATTCTCCTCGAGTGGGGAAAAGAGAGATACATTCACAGGTTTTCTCCTGCGGCTATCCGTCGCCCTCTCAGACGTCGGCGTTCCTGCATCCTGCGCCTCCTGCGACTATCCGCCGCCCTTTCCGACGTCGGCGTTCCTGCATCCTGCGCCTCCTGCGGCTATCCGCCGTCCTATCCAATCGTAGACGTTCACTGTCTCCTGCGACTCTTGCGGCTATCCGCTGCCTTCTTCATGTTTGACATGCCTGATATTTACAGTCATTCCTGCGACTGTTCGCTGCTTTCTCGCATTTTAGTGTTTTTAAAAAATAAACTAAGTGTGTTACTCGTTCTAAAAGTATTCGGGAATCTTTCAGTAATTTTCCTCTTTTCGAACAGTATTCTCTTTATACGCGTTATAACAATAATGTCTATGAATAAGTCTATAAATAAGAAAAATCTATGGCAGACAACGATATAATTTTTAAATAAATACTCGCAGTTTTATTAAAAAGTGGAAAAACGTGCTCATTCGACCTGAACAAATGAAACTGAACTGATCAGAATTCAGGCTTAGCCGAGATTTATATATTTGCCTGCTCGCTCCTCCTTGTAATGATCGAACGTTATCCTCAATCGTTTTCGGAAACAGTTGCTGAATTTATGCAAAGAAATTTAAAAATAATCACATATCATGTTGTAGGTGAGCTATAATGACGACGTCTGCCACTATATGCTAGGTCAAACTGAACAGATTTTCTTGTCACTTCGATGTTATCGTGATTTTACTACCTAAGTAATGACTTGAGAGACTATTTATTGTTCCAAATGCCCTTTGGTTCTATCTATATCGAATAGCGACACAAACAAAGACATGTTTCCTTACGCATTTTACTTAGAAACATAAACGAATAACTTGTTCATCAAACTGAGAAAGAGAAACCTAATTATCGTATAAGCATATTTTACTACCATCATTATCCAACAACTGAAATACTTCTGATGTATGGAACGAAAATCTGTATAAGGCACTATAAATTCAATCGAGAAGAAATAATATATATCAGTATGCAAAGGACGCAATAAATATGATTTCGATGATTCTATTCTATCGCGGTAAGCATCAATAACATGTCGACTCACCAAACGCGGCTGATATTTTGTTACTTGTACATTTTTCTGCATTTCGCCAGATTTTTCTCTAAAAGCCTTTTCCATGGACACTGATTTGAAGAGGATAACAAGGAACAGCGTATTGATGAAGGAAGATTTAGAGAACTGCAGTTACCAAGAATCATACTTCGAAAATTGATAAGAAAATGATTGTAAATATTTCACCACTTGCAATGATGATTGTAGTCATTTAAATTGAAATGTAAAGATGTGATAAATAAATGTAATAAGCGATGATTGATATTTTGTTTAATCGATTTCTCATCGACCGATTTCTTACGTTTAATTTGTTATGCACAGTTAGTTACGTTTTATTGCGTTAGTTACGTAAATTAGAGACGCGGGAATATATTAGCACCGGTCACTAATGTCTCTCCATCGTTACTTATTATTCAAAATTTCGTTATGAATTGTATTGTTTAACTCCATCGGTAATGGACTCCATGATCGGTAACGCGACTCCGCTACTAGGCGTCGCGCGGCAGAGTCGCTGTGCTCAAAGTTAAGATCTCACCAAGGGGCCTATAAGAGAAAGCCCCAATGGGTGGTCGAGCAGACATCACGGAGCTGAAAGACGCGCCACACGGAGCACTGCAACATGTATTCCTTTTCGGCAAAACGCTGCAACACGCGTTCCTCCAGGGTATTGAAACATGTACCCAGCGGCGAAAGACACTGAGACACGTGCTTCCTCCTCCAGGGCATTGTAATACATGCCCAACGGCGAACTCTCCATGCGTCAACAAGCTTTCCACGCAACACAAGTATACACACTGCACAAGCAACCATACTGCCAAAGCGTCCATACTGCACAGACGTCTACGACTGCAATAACGCTGCACAAGCGTCCACACTGCACAGACGTTCACGACTGCATTCATGCTGCACAAGCTATTACGCCGCACAAGCGCCCACACTGCACAGACGTCCCCGAATGCAATCATGTCGCACAAGCGTCCACACTGCACAGATGTCTACGACTGCAACTACGCAACAAGCATACATACTGCATAAGCGTCCGCACAGAAAAACGCTGTAATAACATCTAAACCAAACAAATATTGTTATTAAGAAAAAAACAGGGAACTGAGTAAAAATATCCCCTGCTCCTAATCACTCACACATTTCCCAAACATTCCTATGAAAATATTATTAGGCTGTACAAATTAACCATATTAGGAGTATAACACAAATATGCTATGTAACTGTTATATAACATACTTTTCTTGTACAGTTTTAATAAATGGAAATACAAGAATGTAAATACAAAAAATATTACTGTTAAACTTCTTTGACAACGGAACGTACTAATTTAAAGTCTGTTATGCAAGATGTAGGCTTGAAAATTCCGGCCAGACATTAAGATTTTACAGGAAATTTAAATTTAAACAAAAAATTTCTTATAAATGGATCAAAAAATGCTTACTTAAAGAATTAATGTTTAAAAATCACGGTTTATATACATTTTTGCAAATAACTAGAGAAGCATAGGTTGTTTAATAAAAATACCGAAACAAAATTTGTAGAGAATTAAATTATCTTTCAAATAAGATTAGCACAATTGTGATACGTTACATAGGTTTTGAGGTAACCGGTTTCAAATGTACAAAAAAAGTGTTCTTTTCGGGTACCGACGAGAAAGAGAGATATAGCTTTTCAAAATACTCTTCATTTATGCTGTTATAGTTATAGATTATGCTGTAAAAAGTTTATTAGAAAGTACTCATCTCAGTCATACACCCTACGGTGCCACTCCTTTTTAGTCCCTCTGTACGTTCTACAAATTGGATAAGCTCTTTTCTAATAGTTTTAATCAATATTTCTCTATTACGCATTTTATTCATATTAAGATCTTGTCCATTTTCCTTAAATTAAGTAAGAAAAATTATCACGTCTTTTTTAAATTCACAACGCAATATATAAGATTTATCATCATCTTCCTCTTCTTCTTTTTCCGCTATCTTCATAATGAACAGCTCGAATGGCTCCAGTGGCTTCAAATGGATAACATTCAGAATTTTTATCTTGTAGAATTTTTAGCAAGAATTTTTCAGACAAAAATATATCTTCACAGAAATTTCTTCGGAATAATTCATGTTAGCTTGGAAGTACTGATCTACGATGTGAAGTTTGACAGTACTTTGCCAATTATGTTTAATTCAAATGATTACAATTATCATTGCAAGTGGCGAAATAATTGCAATCCTTTTCTTATCATTTCTTGAAGTATGGTTCTTGGTAAGTTTAATTTCTCTAAATCCTCCTTCGTCAATATGCTGTTCGCTGTTATCCTTTTCAAAACAACGTCCACGGAAAAGGCTTTTAAAGAAAAATCTGGCGAAATATAGTAAAATGTATAAGTAAAAAAATATCGGCCGCATTTGATGAATCGATATATTTATATGTCGATAATATTGATGCTTACCATGATAAAATGAAATCATCGAAATCACATTTACTGAGTCGCTCCTTTGCATACTAACATATATTTTTTTTCCTGGATCAAATTTATAATGTCTTATACAGATTTTCGTTCCAGACATCAGAAGTATTTTAGTCGTTGAATGATGATGGTAGTAAAATATGCTTATACGATTATTAGGTTCCTTTTCCTTAGTTTGATGAACAAAGTACTCTTGCATGTTTCTAAGTAGAATGCCAGCGTAAGGAAATATGTCTTTGTTTCTGTCGCATATTCGATATAGATAGAGCCAAAGGGCATCTGGAACAATGAAGAATAATAGAATAAAAGAATATTGTTTAATTCAGTGAGATATACAATACTCTTTCAATACTAAATATGTCTGACTTGTCATGCATAGGGGAACTTTTCCCTGTACCGGCCATTTCCCAGTACCGGCCACCACGTGGTTTTTCGAAACGCCGCTAAATGGCAGATGCTTATTGTGTCTACTACTTAGATACAATGACAAAGCGATAACCTTCAGAATTCCTCGCGCCTGTGTTCAGTTGTTTGAGAGCTGCTGTGAAGAGAAAGTTTTATTGCGTTTTCTGCCTGTATTTGCTAAACTTTCAATCTTTATGTTTCTTTCTCTAGTGAGTTGATTTCCATTGATTCATATTTATTTTATTTGTAGTTAGATAAAGTATAGATAGCAATAGTAACAGCGTTATTGGAAGACATGTGATTAAATTATTAATACATTTATGTTGGCGTGTATGTTGCCTAATACCACATACGGCCACGTGTCATTTCCCCAGTACCGGCCATAAAAGTAATTTATCTTATAATTACAATATCGGTTTTTCTTGCTTTCCAGAACTATTTTATCGATAATGGAAGGCAAAAGTAAAGGGAAATGGTTACCAGAAAACATGAAAGGGGCTATTCAAATGGTTATGGAAGGAAAATTAAGCGTCAGGGAAGCTTCAACGCAGTTTGCTATTCCAAGAAACACGTTGGGAGATAGAGTAAGAGCAATAAGAACTGGTAGCGAAATGATTGTGATTCCGCTGAAGTTTTCTAATATCTTGATTGGACATTTATAACTTTGATTTGTAGGATTATTTGTTTATCGTATAAAATTTTCTTTATGTATTCTTTTTGTTAATTAAAGTTTTATAATGTCTCACTGAAGTTTGTATGTGTATTTGTAAGGTAACAATTTCTCATTTCTAAGCAATAAGTTAATTTTTACTGGGAAACAGTTTTTGTAATTTGAGGTTTTGTAAAAATTATATCTTTTGTTGTAATGGACATACACACTGATTTTCTTCATGTTTACTCAAAGCAATTGTAACAATACTGTATTAGGCTTCTTTTAACTTGATCAGATTTATTGCTGGCCATTTCATTATTAAACAATAAAGAAAAATTATTAGGTGGCCGATACTGGGAGAGGTTCCCCTACTCATGTTAAGTCTAATGAATAGTATAACATCATGCAATATGCATTCTTATAGAAATATTGTTAGACTATACAGATTAGCTATATTAGAGATATAACAGAAATATGTTATGTAATTGTTATATAACATACTTTCCTTGTACAGTTTTAATAAATGGAAATACGAGAATGTAGATATGAAAAATATTATTGTTAAACTTCTTACTACGGAACTAGTAGGATGTATTTAAAGTCTATTATACAAGAAGAAGGCTTGAAAGTTCCGACCAGACATTAAAATGAAATTTAAATTTAAACGGAAAATTTCCTATAAATAGGTAAAAAAATGTTTACTTAAAAAATTAGTGTCTAAAAATTTCGGTTCATATATATTTTTGCAAATACATAGAGAAGCTTGGATTATTTAATAAAAATACCGAAACTAAATTTGTAGAAAATTAAATTATCTATCAAATAAGATCAGCACAATTGTAATACGTTACGTAGGTTTTGAGATAACCAGTTTCAAATGTACACAAAAGTGTTCTTTTCGGATATCGACGAGAGATATATACTGCTTTTTAAAATACTCTTTATTTATGCTTTTATAGTTATAGATTACGCTGTAAAAAGTCAATTAGAAAGTACTCACCCCAGTCATACACCCTACAGTGCCACTTCTTTTTAGTCTGTATGTTCGTTTTACAAATTGGATAAGCTCTTTTAGTTTTAATTGAATTTAATATTTCTCTATTATTCATATTATTCATATTAAAATCTTGTCCATTTTCTTTAAATTGAGTAAGAAAAATTGTCACGTCTTTTTTAAAGTCACAACACAACATATGAGATCTATTATCTTCTTCCTCTTCTTTTTCTGTTATCTCCATAATGAACAACTCAAATGGTTCCAGCGGCTTCAAACAGATAACATTCGGAATTTTCTTGTGGTAGCAATAGTTTTTCGAATCGGAATGTATCTTCGCAGGAATTTCTTCGGAATGATTCATGTTGACTTGGAAGTAGATGTCTACGATGTGAAGTTTGACAGTACTTTGCCAATTATGTTTATCTTATCATAAACGATAATATATTTATGCGAACAAAAATCTATAGCAGACAACAATACAATTTTTAAATAAATACTTGCAGTTTTATTAGAAAGTGGATGAACGTGCTCATTCGACTGAACGAATGAAACTGAACTGATCAGGATTCAGGCTTAGCCGAGATTTATATACCTGCGTGCTCGAACCTCTTTGTAACGACCGAACGCCACCTTCGATCGTTTTCGAAAATAGTTGCAGAATTTGTGCTTGCTGGAAGAAAGAATTTAGAAGAGGAGAAAAATCGAGGATTAAAAATAATAAAAATAAATATATTTCCGAAAACAATAACGATATTGTTATTGCCGGAGTGACTCAGTACGGTAACTCGCGGTCAGATCGCTTAGATATTAGTATTAAAAGCGATCTGATCGCGATAAAATAAGTTCAATTTGGTTATTCCGGCAGAACGGAACCTATAGTGTGTGTGAACATCGATAGGCTATGCTCGCAAAATCGCGCGTCGGTCGCGGTGGGGGAAAACAAAAAATCATGTTTTGAGATTGTCTAATGCCCTCAAATCTTACTCGATTTTAATGTTTTATGTTTTTAATTAAAGCTTATTAAATTTTGAAAAAGTTAATGGTACCGATTTTTGAACTAGATTTTTTTTCAAAATTGCAAATGCATATAGCGGTTGAAAAACAAAGATTATTTACTGTTTTTAACTAATTTGTACTAAATTAAGTATTTCATATATTTTTTTATGTCGCAGATTATGAATTTAATATCAAAATTACGAAATTAATTATAATGAATCCAATATGGCCGCCTTGAACCATAAAACATTATAAATATGAATAAATCTACCATTATAAATTTATTTGTATAAAGATTCGCATGTGAACACATATTTTGAAATTGTTAATTGTTAATATATTACAACAATTAAGAATTTAAAATGGCGAATCAAGTATCATCGATGCCGAAATTGAAAATTTATATAACATTTGTTGGAAATCATATTGAAAGATTTCGCACGATGAAAATTTTATATTTGTGTTAAAAGCGATCTGTGTAAAAATTTTTGTGTTGAATTTTTAACATACTCGTTAATTTAACATATCGTCGTTGTGTTATTTTTATTCTACTATCTTGAGTTTATATTCACTATTCCTAGTGTTAAAATAACTGAATTTATATGTGACATATACTTTCTTAGTAACATATTTTATACGTACAATGTATACTCAGAGGCAGGTATGATGTCCCTCGGCGGGCCCGTATACGACTGTCAAACAGTCGAAAGCGACAACAGGCATATACGGAGGGCGTACTGTATGTCTTACGTACAACGCGAGAGAAGCGAAGAAGGAACGTAGGGGAAGTGGTGAGAGACATTCCGATGTTGCGTTCTTATCGCACATCATCCGATGGAGAGAGAAAACATCAGCAGACGTTACCAGTTGTTAGTGGTGTCCTCAATAGCTGTCTCACTCACTCAACACTTGAATGCAGAGATATGAGCGAGACAGCTATAGGGACACCGCGCTGTCTCTATAGGTATCTCGCTCGCTCTAATATCCATGAATCACGCTTTCCTCTTTTCTCCTTAGCAGAAATGCACGTTGTGCCGATAAATGACACCGAACGACAAAATTTAACTTTTTTGTTGTTGTACGAATGTGAATAGTTATTTCCGATGTATTTTTGTCCGCTGAGTACAAATCCTTAGTCCAAATTTGGTTACTGCGTTACATTTTTGAAAAAAATACATCGGAAATGATAGACATATTTCGTCAAAAGGTCATTAAGATGCGTCCGCATATAATATTGAGATGTTAAGATCTTTACAAAGAATGAATTTTGCCGGCATATGAAAAAAATCATCTGATGCTATAAACATTTCAGTAATATTGCTGCATATTCTGATGTCAATGGTAATGGACAAACATTTCACAATTTAACACATCCTACGGAATGGAATAAATTTTTTTCTTTGTAAATTTCATGATAACCATCAGTATAGATATATCAGTATATAACCATAAAGTATAGACTTTTCTTTACAATTTTAAAAAGAGACAGATTTTTTTGCACAGTTCCAACATAGGGCGCGATCTATTGCACGCTATAAACGCTTCGAAGTCTAAGCACTCAAAGTTACCCATGCATTTCTTTTAAATCGCTTAAGACCTGGAATACAATAGGTGTAGTAAGCTTTAAGCATTAAAAAATTAAACAATCCTAGTCGACTTTTACAAAAATAATTAAATGAGGTTTGCCAATTTCTTGTGACTTAAAGCTTATTACACTTATTGTGTTCCCGTGCTAATTTGACGTACTATACTAGGTGGAATGAATTCTTTTCATAAATCTTATGATAAAAATTGTAAAATATCGTTGTTTTCTTACAAATTAAAAAAATAAGAAAGAACTAATAATATTATAAGGCTCTTATAAAAATCAATTTAATTCTAAATATAAACAGTAGGCATGTAAGAGCCGTTTTTTCGTGTTATGTAGGTTTAATGTAAAGAAACAATTAATACAAGTTTCCAATTAAAGCAAGTTTTTCTTGAAGATACTTTTTCTTACTTTTGAAAATAATAGATATGGAGTATATACTGAGTATATACTGATATATATATACTGATAGTTATCATGAAATTTACGAAGAAAAAAATTATTCTATTCCGTAGGATGTGTCAAATTGTGAAATATTTTGGTCCATTACCATTAACATCAGAATATGCGGCAATATTACTGAAATGTTTATAGCATCAGATGATTTTTTTCATATGCCGGCAAAATTCATTCTTTGCAAAGATCTTAACATTTCAATATTACATGCGGACGCATCTTAATGACCTTTTGACGAAATATGTCTATCATTTCCAATGTATTTTTTTCAAAAATGTAACGCAGTAACCAAATTTGGACTAAGGATTTGTACTCAGCGGACAAAAATACATCGGAAATAACTATTCACATTCGTACAACAACAAAAAAGTTAAATTTTGTCGTTTGGTGTCATTTATCGGCACAACGTGCATTTCTGCTAAGGAGAAAAGAGGAAAGCGTGATACATGAATATTAGAGCGAGTGAGATACTTATAGAGACAGCGCGGTGTCCCTATAGCTGTCTCGCTCATATTCTCTGCATTCAAGTGTTGAGTGAGTGAGACAGCTATTGAGGACACCACTAACAACTGGTAACGTCTGCTGATGTTTTCTCTCTCCATCGGATGATGTGCGATAAGAATACAACATCGGAATGTCTCCCACCACTTCCCCTACGTTCCTTCTTCGCTTCTCTCGCGTTGTACGTAAGACGTACAGTACGCCCTCCGTATATGCCTGTTGTCGCTTTCGACTGTTTGACAGTCATATACGGGCCCGCCGAGGGACACCATACCTGCCTCTGAGTGTACACATAGTTTGCATTATTTATTAAGACATTTGCCCTGCACTAAATTAATACAGAAATTAGATTGAATAAAATGAGATGTGTGAAAATAAGTCTAATTTAACACAAATTTTTTTACAATGCGAGGTCACAAATTACGAATCTAGAAAGTTGCAAATTTCTTGAAAAATTTACTAATATTCTTGATGATAATAATGGTCATGGAAATGATAGTTATAATAATGATAATATTATATAATAATAATGTTATATAATGACTATATTCATTATAATAACGTTGATAATGCCAATATTCGTCATGATGATGATGATAAAGATGATAATCACCGAAATGATATTTATAATAATGTGTACGTTTTTTAGATATTCGTAATTATAAAGCAATTATATTATCGTTGTATTAATATGATTACGATATAATTATAATATTAATATGATATGAATAATTATAAATACTCAAAGTATTTAATATGTGTTTTATTCATGTTTCTGATATAAAGCGGAAAACAAATAAATCTTTGACGAAACGTTTGACAAAAAATAGAATCTCTGTCATTTAGAATCCTCATTCTAAATGGATTTTTCCATTTTCTTTCTCGTTTGTAAATGAACCAATAGCCACGTTGTCATTCGTAATCACTGATTTTCTTCATTCAATTAACACGAAAAAGATCTTGATTATTTTGATTGATCATGTTGATTCTAAACGATTTAATGATGTGAATTTCTAAATGAAAAAGCCCATTTATAAATTTTCTATATAGATGTAGATATAGATAACACTCAAAACATTAATTTGTTACTACAAATTTGTGAAACCGACCGTGCACCAATGTCCCTCGTAGTCAACAATGCTACTTCCTCTTTAAATTTCTTAGCGTGGAATCTCAAGGTGAGTGAAAAGTGGTGGTACTTTCATTCAAAGCAATGAAATGAAGGTTCCGTTTCACGAGATCGCAAAAATGAATGTTTTACCCAAACTTTGAGCGTATCGTGACTCCATATGAACACATATTCCAATTGATTAAAGTCAATTTAACTTATAACAGAGTGAAGTATATCAAATTCACTCTTCAATTTGAAATAGAAATATCCACTCGACGATTCGGAATAGAGAATGTGTATAGGTAAGAAATAATTCCAGTTTGAAGCGGTTACTCTATCTTTTAAGTGAAGTTTCCCTTCAAGAAATTTAGGAAGTTCGTCTCATCTAGACAACCTTGTGCTGCAAATACAAAAGACATATAATGCTTGCTTGGACGAAACTCCCTTCCTATGCAACTGCCGTATAAGGCAAACAGCCGCTGAATGGTGAGTGTATAAGCGTAAGAGTAAAATGGTCAAAATTTATGAAAAGAGTTTATCACCATTTGCCCAAACGTGGTTTATAAGAAAAAATGAAAAATGGATGCTACAAGAGGACAATGATTCTAAATATCGAAGTCGCCTTTGTACCACGTGGAAACATGAAAATGGTGTTGAATTACTAAATTGGCCCCTTTGTAATCACCGAATGCAAATCCTATTGGAAATGTTTGGTCCTTGATAAAGTTTAAACTTCGTGGAAAAAAAATTTAGTCAGTCAAGGAGTTAGTTCGACAAATTTGATTAATATGGAGATCTGTACCTCAAGAATATGCCATAAAATTAGTTGAAAGCATATCTCGGAGATGCTAGACAATTATTGATAATTAAGGCGACTGGACAAGTTATTAACAATAAAACATCACAGTTCTAACTAAATAGTATGTATATATTTTATTCCAAATCATTTCAATAAATTACTTATCAAGTTTTGCCGGACACGCTCTTATCAAACAGACTGTATGTAACGAATGTCGTAAGTAATCGTCGTAACGAGAATGCTGAGCGACGCCTTTAGTTTCTTCACGGCGCATTTGACAGGAAATTGAAATTCGCCGACCATAGTGGATACTCGAGCTGATACTCGAGCCTGTGATAAGTTGTGAGTGCGTGAATGCGAGTGTCTTAAAAATTGTCAACTTGCCGTCTCTTCTATTTACCATAGGACTTGCTCGCTTCTTGCGTTTAAAATTTCACTCATACGCATTATCTTCAAGTTCTGCAAGCGTCCGTCGGAATATAAAGAGTCGCGCACCATCTCAAAGTGCATTCGAAATTCCTCGTCGTTAACTATACATATTGACTCCCGTAGGATGGCACCTGCGGGGTGCACAATAATATCATTAGGCGTACAAGTTTTTTTTCTGACAAAGGGTCTAGTGGAAATGATGAAATTATGATAAAATTGTCTCCAAAGATAATTTTGCCATAGTTATGCAAGAACGATCCAATTCACATGAAGCACGTTTCGAGAAAAATGAAGATAAAAATTTTATACATAATTTTAAAAGTATAGATTGAGTGAGAATGTAAAGTAAATGCAAATACAAAATATGCAATTCTTCGCAATCGTTTAAGAAATCAAATATCGTCAATTTTCTTCTCTTTCAAGATATTTACAAGATATTTCAAGATATTTTAAAAAGCTTAGCCGTAAAGAATGAAAAATAACGCAATTAGTAGAAAAAAAACTATTTTTAATTAATTTTAAACACCATTAACCATTTATTTTAAACACCTATAAGACTTGGAAAATAAAAACTGAAAAATCATAATTTTATGAGTTGGATTATTCTTGCATAAGTATAGCCATCTTACACAATAGCTGCCTAAAAGTAACTTTTAGCGAGTAAGCCTAGTCACTTAGATCTCTTTGTTGGAGTAACAAAAAATTAAATAAAAGGATATCTTTAAAAAGACATATATATGTAGAAGATATATGGAAGATATATAGGAGATTTTTAAATCTCACATGTAGCACACAAACGATTATGTGGAACACCTTAATTTGACACACTGGGATTGTTGCTGTCTTCGCTTTTTTATTTATATTCAATAAAAATACTAATGAAATCTATAAAAATTATAAATATATTTTCAAGTCTAGAATAGAATCATGTGCAAAAATAATCGCAAATATTTACTTACCTATTTCATTTTATTACATTATAAAGCAAAACGAAAGTTTATCTAAAAATTTGTTATTTTCTTAAAAACAAATTTAACATTGTAGGGAATTCTCTTATAAATTTTTAAGAAAAAAATTACATATTTTAATATATCAAAAAGTATAATAATTTAGATATATCAAAGAAATATAATAAAAAAATAAAAAATATAAGAAAAGATAGAAAATACATCATTTTTCAGCCAAGAGGCGAATAAAATTATTAATAATTCCAAGATTTTACGATATTATTCTAATATCTATAATTGTTCGCAATTAAGATAATTTGATCACAAATCAAGTAATATTAAACAGACTAATGAAAGGATGTTGTTGCTGGCATGCAAAGCATTCCATTACATCAATAGTCACAAGAAAAAGAATTAATAAATTTCAGTGTATAAATAATCAAACGCATTTTGGTACTAAAATGAGATACTTTTCAACAATCTTAAACCTGAATTTAATCGCGAAATTAAAATAAACATCATAAATAATGTCATCATAATAATAATTTAAGTAATAATAGTTAAGTGAAAATAACGTGTTTCCCTACTGAATAGAATTATATAAAAGCAAATATGTTCATATATGAAATATTTCATATACATACTTTTAGAAAACATAAATCCAAAGACGTTAAAACATAATATTATTTCTACTTTTTACGAAAGAGATGTTAAAAGATAATTAGATCAAAAATAAAATTAAGTGTCATACAAAAAACATTGGCGTGCCCGGGTATATAAATAATTTAAATATATTTTCCAAATAATATTTTGTATACCAATTTGTAAAATTCAATGCACCTTATTGCGACATAGGCACGCCAAATGTTTTTTGTATGATTCTTAATTTTTTTTTATCTAATTATCTTTTCGTAGAAAAGAAAAAAGGAACATCCTTTTCGTAGAAAGTAGAAATAATATTATGTTTTAACGTCTTTGGATTTATGTTTTCTAAAAGTACTAGTATGTATGTAAAATATTTCATATATGAACATATTTGCTTTTATATAATTCTATTCATGTAAGGAAACACGTGAATTATTTTCACTTAGCTTAACTACCTGATATCACATTTTTTATAAAAAATGTGATATCAGGTAGTTAAGCTAAGTGAAAATAATTCACGTGTTTCCTTACATGAATAGAATTATATAAAAGCAAATATGTTCATATATGAACATATTTGCTTTTATATAATTCTATTCATGTAAGGAAACACGTGAATTATTTTCACTTAGCTTAACTACCTGATATCACATTTTTTATAAAAAATGTGATATCAGGTAGTTAAGCTAAGTGAAAATAATTCACGTGTTTCCTTACATGAATAGAATTATATAAAAGCAAATATGTTCATATATGAACATATTTGCTTTTATATAATTCTATTCATGTAAGGAAACACGTGAATTATTTTCACTTAGCTTAACTACCTGATATCACATTTTTTATAAAAAATGTGATATCAGGTAGTTAAGCTAAGTGAAAATAATTCACGTGTTTCCTTACATGAATAGAATTATATAAAAGCAAATATGTTCATATATGAACATATTTGCTTTTATATAATTCTATTCATGTAAGGAAACACGTGAATTATTTTCACTTAGCTTAACTACCTGATATCACATTTTTTATAAAAAATAGAAGTTTAAACAACAATATTTCTTATTAACATTTTTAAATATATTATTTTACAAATAAAATATTTTTTATAGAAACATTAATTTTTGTATAATTCTACTCGTGCAGGCAAGCGCGTGAAATTGGCGTCTTTTTTCACTTTTTTTTAAAAAAAGATATACTTGTTCGGATATCATATTTTTTTCATAAATGATTGAATATCTATTAAACACAATGATTGAATATCTATTAAACACAAATTTGACATAAAGTTTCATAAATAATTATAATTTTACGAGAGTTGCGTATCAATTTAACAGAAGTACTACTATATTTATTCTATAGATGTTCGGCTTATACGTGCGATGCGAGCGCTCAGTTGCTTCGAAACGCCGAGTAAGGGCGAGAATATCATTCTCTTCTTCTCTTTCATTCGCTGTTTTGAAAAACGGTCGCGGCAGCGAGTAAGAGAGAGAAAGAGAGGATGACATTTTCCCTCTCATTTACGCGACTCTTGTTTTGCGCGAGATACTACCGCGTCTTTTGACACCAATACGTGTACACGACCTAACCACGTGGTCCATGCCTCGCTGATTGCGCCGCTAAGTGACACCTCTGATGGAGAAAGGCTGAGATGGACATTTGTATTGACAATAGAACGTTTTTTAATCGAAAATTTTGTCATTTCGGACTTTCCACTAAAATATCTCCTCTCATGAACTAAGTGGGACAAATATAAAGATAGATTGATTAAGCAAATTGACCCCAGGAAATCAATAAAGCCTATGCAGAAATTCGTCCGATTAGCTGTTATAGCCAAACGATAAATCTTACCTGCGCTGAACTAGACTGGTCGGCGTAAGTTATACGCGACCGGTCTCACGCCGCTCCTCACTTCGTGCATTCACTTGGCGCGAGACGCTACCGCGTCTCTTGATCGGCCGACGGGTGCAATGAAGCATCGGGTTGTTTGGTATGAATATAATTATTTGATGGTCACCGGGAGGCAGAGGAGGAAAGTGCGACACCGATCGGTTAGGATATTGGAAACGACTAAGGTGAAAAATCAATAAGAACAAACGATCAGGATCAATGATCTCAAGGCATTTCTGAGGCTGGCCTCCATCGCAGATGTCAGCCCAGAAACAAATCACCCCAAAAACGAAAATAAGACATGAATCATCCCAAAAGCGGAAATAAGACAGAAATAATACACCTAAATACGAAATGCTTCGTAGTAGCGACGCGTCCGTGATCTGAACTTGTTGGTGGTTATCCCGAGAGGCTGCCCGGCCAGGTCTCTACTCGTTGCTCAGAGATAAGGTTTGTTGTTAGTCAAACTCGATGAAACGCGTACCGATGAAATAAATGTAAAATCTTTGAAAAACGAATTTGAGAAGGATATCAAGTGTAAACCAATAACTTTCCTCATCAGGGATGTTTCGACAGATACGAGCAGTCGCAATAACGAAACTAAGTGAAATAAACGGCTGCCAAAAGATTGTTTACTATAAATAGCAAACAATGATCTCAAACAATTCAGGAAAGCATTAAACTTAATACCTTTTTCTAATAGTGCAAAATAACAAAAAGATACGAAATGTGAATATTCTATTTTTAAACAGCTATTGTTTTTACAATTTTTGTTCCACAGCTTAAAATTTAAATTTAAAATTAAAATTTAAATCCTCCAATTACAAGCATATTGTTTAAGAAACTTTTTAATTTTTTATCTCAGATCATTAGAAAGCTATCTTTCTTTACGATTGCAGCGATATTTTTTGCAGTTGTGAGTTTAACCATACGCTGCATATTTATTTATAGGTTTTTCTGAATAACAAAAATAGTAATATAAAGTTTAAGTTACTTTATTAATATACAATGTTTCAAAATATTCGATTAATCCATTTTTGCAAAATTAATTCCAAAATATACGCTTTCTTTCAAGGCATTACATTGCTGTGCAAATGTTTGTACAGACTGGAAAATCTGCTGTAAATAACAAATATAAAATTGGACCCAGGACGCTACTCTGTGGGACACCTGAGGAGATTTCTTCTAATTTTCTGCGAATGAATGTCGACTTCGCGTTCGCCAAACGGTATTCGCGACACAAAACGCTGAGCGCGCGCAAAACTAGGCGGGCAGAGTCGCGCTCCTTGTGACGGACGCCTTTCGGGGCCACCACGTCACACATTAAATCAATTTATTCGTTTATACATCTTTAAATAGAAAATTACTGGCTTTTTCTAACAATCGTGCGAGACAAGAAAGACAATCAGCAGTAACACACACACACACACACACACACACACACACACACACACATATATATATATATATATATCGCATGTATATACTTTCCCTATCGCAAGTCTAGTTGTAGTCGTATAAACAGTTATTTATTTTGCTGTCAAATATACTTATATTAGGTGTTCCGGTTAGTTTTGAGGGTTCACTATAGATGGCTATAGCTACAAATCTACTGGAAACATTTTAAAAATGGGTACATCTTGTCAAAGCTAGGACATCTCTACAAACAAATTGACACATGTCCTGTGTATTCGTAAACATAAACACACTGTTTAGTGCGACTAAATATAGAACGTGATAAAGAGCATTTTCGGCATCTATTACTTTACTGCTTTGATTCGAGAAAAACAGCTCCCGAAGCTAACCGATTCATCTCAGAAACTTATTCTAAGTCTGCTCCATCAGTTAAAACGTGTGAGTATCGATGATTTAAAAGTGGTGATTTTGATTTGAAAGACAAAAACGCTCAGATCAACCAAAAAAGTTCGAAGATGCCGAATTGCAGGCATTGTTGAATGAAAACTCAGCTCAAACACTTCAAGAATTAGCTACAACATTAAATGTTGGTAAATCAATTGTTTCAGTGGGAATTTGAATAGGAAGTCTTATCGCACGCCGCATATTCACCAGACTGTGCTACTTCAGATTATTACTTATTTCGATGCAGCACGGTCTTACTTATCACTTCAAAACATATGATGCAATAAAGAAATAGCTCGATGAATGGGTTGCTTCGAAAGATGAATATTTTTATTTTACCGCGGAATCCACTTATTGCCAGAAAAGTGAGAAAAAGTTGAAAAAGCTAACGGTGAAAAAAATTTTTGATTAAAATAATTTAATGTCTCTAAAATATACGTGTTTCTTTTTTGCACAAAATCCCTCAAAACTAACCGGAACACCTAATATATAGATCACAGAATCTGTTTAAACAATTAAATGTTTAGTTATAGTGCTACACAAAGATAATTTTGCTGTTCACTAAACGTTAACAGTTAACAGTTAACAGTTAAACGTTAACAGTTTACTAAATGCTCACTAACGCTAAACATTTAAACGTGTATTCGCAAAACGGATCAAAATGGAAGCCCTGATACAAACTTATATCCTTTAGCGATTTCCAGAATATCCAGTACATTCGATCGTCGTAGAACATAATATCACATTCGATATATTACAAAGAGTTAACATTATAATGTTATCGAATAGATTGGTTGATACGGACGCCAAATGAATCGGTTGTCAGAGAAACAGATATGGGTAAGCAGCAAAGACGAATATTCGATTATTTTGTAGTGTAAATCAATTGTAGTGTAAATGTTTTTGTAAATCAATAATATTGTCTCTCGTGTCTAAAATATATTAGCTTAATTTGTGATCGACGAAAAGATACATAACACGTGTCTCATCGATACAAAAGAGGCACAGCAAGGGTTCGAGATGAAGAATGTTTGTAATTTGAACCAACTCCGTTGCACCATGAAACATGAGTTTGATTAAATTCCAGGTGCTGAAATGTAAGAATGCATCTTCTCATATCAGATAACAGTTTCACGAGCAATTTTGCTCTTTTTTTATTGTTGCTGTGATTACAATAATGACAAATATTTCTTGAGTAAATAAAAATTTCCGTGAAAGCACGTTAACCTACAATATTATGTGTTATGCCAGAGTAAATCTCTGTTTGGAATTTTGTTTATCTGTTTTATATATCTATTGTATAAACATTGTATAAATATATTTTTATGTATAAATCACATTATATGAAATTATATGGTAAACTGCGGCGATTGTAGTTGACACTGAGCCTTTTTATTTCTTCTCTTATTGTTGAGATGATGCTTGTGTAAAATATCACTGGTGATAAACCATAAAACCAATAAATCATAAAAACCATAAAAACCAATAAACCAATAAACCATAAAAACCAATAAAACCATAAAACCAATAACGTAGTATTTTAGATTGGTATCTTTGCAAGATCTCGATGTTCGAATTGAATGCAGTGTCCCATAGTTGGATCCCATAAGTTCACATGGGTTTTATGATAGATTTGGTAAAGGTATAGAAAACAGGTACAGAAAACAGACGCCACCTCTGATCAACCTGATCTTGACATATGTTGTTAAGGATATGGCCCTGAGTAACAATCAAAAGGTTTTAGCCGTCACTCGTTGTTCGTTAAAAAGTTATTAACAAAAGAATTTGCATCAAATAAATGTAATTTTTGGACAACGTATATACAAAAACATCGAATTTGTACACTAGGAAGGTACCTGCTACACACACACACACACGCGCTTATCCGCCCGCCCAAACGGGCTCCCGGTGTGTGTGTGTTCCTATTATATTTGAAGATTTACAAATAGAAAATAATAAAAATAAAAAAGATGCCTGTCCCTAGCCGTGTAACTGAGAGGCTACGCTCCCCAGACTCCCCGCACCGCGACGGGGGGAGGCCAATTCTTTTGTGAGAAATTCTCATTCTTTAACTAAGTACAACAGACTTGCCCCCCCCCCCCGCCGCGCTACGGGAAATCTGGGGGGTGTAGCCCCCCAGTTACATAGCTAGGGACAGACACCGTTTACATACTACACTTAATATACTCTGTATTGATATTAATGTATCTTTTTTTGTGAATAACTTTTTAACAAACAATGAGCGCCAGTTAAAACCTTTTGAATGTTACTTAGGGCAGTGGTAGATACCTTCCTAGCCTACAAATTTGATGTCTTTGTATACGGTGTCCAAAAATTACATTACGCATTTTATGTAACTTCTTTTGTTCATAATTTTTCAATAAACTATGACCGACGGCTAAAATCTTCAGAAAGTAGCTCAGAAGGGTGATCTCTATGACATATGTCAAGGTCAAGTGGATCGGAAGTGGCGCCTGTTTTCTATACCTTTATCAAAAAAAGAACAACTGTAAAATGTAACAATCGGTGTTTATTTAAGAAGTCGGAATAGCGTGAATTGAAACAGAAACGTTTAATGTCCTCCGCCTAAGGTAATTGAAGTTCATTAAGGAACACAGGTAAACATGTTTCCTTTTGTGTGGTGAAGGTTACGTTAGTGGATTTTCATTGACTTTAATGAGTCATGTTCGGGTCCACTTCTGAATGGCATTTAACTCAATCTGCACTCGTTTGGATGCCACTGTAGGGTTTTCATACACTATGGTCACTATGGCAGTGTCGTCTGCAAAGGTTGCGGTGACGACATCCCTGGTGGTCGGCAGATATTCACATATTTAAAAAAGCTTTTATATGCAGAGTAACCTAAGAAATCGATTTTATAAAAAAAAATGTTCTGTTTGAATATTTGAAGTTAACTTTGAAATAATTTTAAAGAAACATCTCAATATATCATAATAACATTATATATATGTATATAATGAAGAATGTATATAATGAAGTTGTTTTGTTTTAGAAAGTATCATGTCCTATACTCCGAATGCGAGAATTTCCGATCACCCAGTATATATATATATACTAGGTGACCGGAAATTCCCACATTCGGAGTACAGGACATGATACTTTGCATGGACCATGCTAAAACAAACAACTTTTTCCTTTAACAAAATTGCGTTCAACAAGTAGATTTACAGGAGAGCGTGTTAAAGTTAATGAATAAGCGGTCTTGTCTAAGCGGTGCTCAGGGTCGGCGCGCGTGCCTCGCTCGCGTGTACCTGCCCGACTAGAAATTGTCATTAGGTATACTTGAAATATATAAGGTCCTAACTAGGATGTTATAATCGCGAATATTATTAGCGCTGACGAAACGTTTCATGAGGAACTGTCTCGACTGCGCTACAACAAGGAAGCGGATGTGCAAGTGCTGCATTAAGCACCACCTTGCACATTCCGCATTTCGGATCTTGAGCCGAAACGCACCGGACTATCACCAAATATGATAACTTCCTGGTTGCCAAGACACTCCCCTTCGACAAGGCTAAACAATATTATAAAAGAGCGAAGAAGACCGCCAGCGATAAAATTAATATCTCGGTCTCTTGCCCGTGACGTACATACCCGCCGCGTATCTCGCGCATTACTGTAACAATTCGGGAGTTTATAATAAAACACAGCAATACGGTTTAAAATAAAGCCTTTTTATATAAAGCTAGTGGCTACAGTATTTCTAACGCAATCCTTCCCACCGCCACACACCCTGCCGCACCCGTAACGCCGATCTCGAATTCTTTTCTCGCGTCCTAGCAACAATAGGCGCGACAAGTGGTTCGCAAGGTTATCCTTACTATGATAAACCTAACCATGTATTGATAAAAATCGAGTAAGGAAGACCTTTGCAAGGTTATAATGATTAGATATATATTAGGACCTTAATGTATGATATTATCCTAATATATTATTTCATGTTTTATTGATCAGGTCCTTTTTAGGATCTTATTTATTTTACTTATTATGACTTGCATTATCAGTTTTTAATATCTTTTGTAACAATCTTGTATATAGTAGATTTGACTAATAAATTTGTTTAAATTTTTTCATAAAAATATTTATTTTTTTAATTTCAAGTATTATAAAAAAGTATCGAAATATAAATTCACATATATTTTATATAAAATTTTTAAATACTCAACAAAAAATATAAGTATAACAATAAAAATATAAAAGTATGATATTTTGCAATATTGCGACAATATTTGAGGAGCATTGAAAATTATATTATTGATAATATTAATGAAAAATGTTTTATTATATAATAATAATAAAATAAATTATTATTAAATTTTATTATATTAATACAAATATATTATTCATATTATATTACAATATACAATAATTATATATATTTTTCTTATTGTTTATATGTAAAATTAAAATGCGTTTAAGCAATTTTGCGTAAACCCTAAAAAAAAATTCTTTTATTTTATAATATTCTCTATTATATAGAGTCTGACGCAAGATGTATCTATAACAAAAAATGCATAAAAACATTAAGCTAAAAGGAATGTCGAAGTCATTTTGCAAATAACCACATAAACTTTAGAGATATTAAATAAAATAAGAGAATCAACGCGCGTATTTGCTAGGTACGTTATAATATACTGTGAACATTGTAAGTATACATTTTATAAACATAAATTGTAAAGACATCGTTGGAGTCATTGGAATTACCGCGTACCACTCGATCGTCAGGTTTAAGCAACGCAGTCAGGATGGATAGATGACCAGCATACCGCTTCGGATTTAAAATTATTTAGGGAGAGGGTTCGCGAAAGTTTAAAGTGTTTGTGACAATCTTTCGGTTCCTAGCAATTATAAAACATAATAATAATAATTAATAGTAATAAGAAAATTAAGAATTAGTTTTTTTTTATGAAAGCTACGCGGAAAACTTTTAAGCGGACATTTTTACATTATATCAAGGTTTGTGCAACGTTGATTCAATGTTTCTCAATGTTACGGCAATATTGACATTGTTGCAATTCAACATTTTCTCAACATTGATTTAACATTATTGTAGTGTATGGAAAACGTGATAGGGATTCAATAGTATAGCCTGATGAGGACATTATAATGAACCTGATTAAGATCCTCATAACGATGCAGCGTTACGTGATTTTTCAGGATCCGACAGTATAACCTTAAATGGACCCGACATCCAGTTATGGTCAATCTATGGTCGATTAGGACCATAGAGTAAATTTCTAATCGGGTGTCGATGCAACTCGCGTTACACATGTGCTCGCGTGTACCAACAAGTAAATCGAGAAATAACTGTCACAAACATTTTTATAAGTAAAGTTACTTAAAATTATTGTCAACAAAAGTTTAAAGAGTAAATAAATATTGACACATCAATCAATGTATTAGGTGATAAACTTAGTTCCTGCGGCTCACAGTTAGATGACGTTAGTTGTAGGTGTAATTTATTTTGACATCTGAAACTGGCTGCATTTTAGAGGTTAGACATTTGTCAATAAAATTCAGTGCGAAGAGATTCATTTAAGCGAGCAGTGCTATTTTTTCTTTTGATTAAATATGGAACGTGATAAGTTGTTTTTTCGACATGTGCTGCTTCATTACTTTGACTTGAAAAAAACTGCAGCTGCAGCTCATAAATTGCTTTTCGAAGCTTATGGCAATTATGCTCCATCGGAAAGAACATGCCAAGTATGGTTTCAGCGATTTAAGAGTGGTGATTTTGATGTCAATGATAAAGAACGCTCAGGCCAACCGAAAAAGTTTGAAGACACCGATTTGCAGGCATTATTGGACGAAAACTCTACTCAAACGCTCCAAGAATTGTCTGCAGCATTAAATGTTACTCCGATGACTGTTTCCAAACGTCTACATGCAATGGAAAAAATTCAAAAGGAGAGAAAATGGGTACCACACGAATTAACCGCAAATGCCATTGCGAATCGCTTAAACATCTCTATTTCTCTGCTCGCCAGGCAGAAAAAGAAGAGTTTTTTGTGGCGCATAGTGACTGGCGATGAAAAATGGATATACTTCGATAATCCTAAACGAAGAAAATCATGGGTAGACCCTGGCCAACCATCGACATCCACACCAAAGAGAAATATTCATGGCCACAAAGCAATGCTTTGCATTTGGTGGGATATGCACGGCGTCGTTTATTATGAGCTACTCAGACCGAACGAAAGTATCACGGGGGATCGATATCAATCACAATTAAACCGTCTGAATGAAGCATTGTTGGAAAAAAGGCCAGCAGTAGCCAGCAATCGACGTAAAGTCATGCTTTTGCACGACAACGCTCGACCACACGTTGCCAAAGCCGTCAAAGAAACACTGATGCAGCT